TGTCTTTTCGCGCTGGTTGCTACGCTGAGAAAGGAAACTGGCAAAAGACAAAATAACATCACATGATGTCCGTGATGAAGGTGAAGCCTGAGGTGTAAAAGGTGAAGAGGAACTGACAGCCGTTCTGAGGGCGTTCGGTGAGACGCTAAAAACCAGATGTTAGGTGGAGTTTCCTTTCTCTCAGCTCTCCAGCCGCTCCTTCGGGATCTGAACCAAATCCAAAAGTTGTTCTTTTTCCGGACCAAAGCCTCTGTTCTCCGTCTCGCACCAGTTTTCTGTTCTTTGTAGAAAAAGATGCTAAAGTTGAGTCTAGTAGAAGCATCTACTGTTGCTAGGCAACGAAGTGTCCAGAATCAGAATCCAACTGATGTGGATTCAGTTCGTCTTTAAAGCACCGAGCAACCGGAGATGTCAATTAAAGACCTACAAATACTTTTATTACTTTACTTAAGTAGAAATAAGTACTGGAGTAGTTATTTTTTAGACAACTTTTTACTTTCTACTCCTTACATTTTAAAAATAGACTCATTATTTTTGTTTCATTTAGGGATTATTTTCATTTTGGCCTGTTGGTATTAAAAAAAAAATAATAATAAAAACCATTAAAATAATTAGTTTCATCCAGGCAGTTAATTTCTTTATGGTTGGATTCGGTGCTGCCCCAACTAGTTGTTCACCACAAACCACAATAAGTAGTTACCATTATTTAAAAAACTAAGAAAATGAAGTCATCCAGGAAGTTATCATCCAGAATTGTAGAAAAATGTTCCTTTAATAGAGTAGAGCAGTGAAGCTTCTGGACTTAACAGTTTTTCCTGCATTACTTTTAATTTTATTCTTTAAGTAGTTCTAAAAATTCTACTTTTACACTTTTACTGCAGTAAAAAGCTGAAGTTGATTCTCCAACTTCTTTAAAAGTGTTTTTAAATAGTAGGATATTCACTGGAGAATAAATATTAATACTTTTAACACATTCTGACTAAACCTCCTCTTTTTTATTCTGCTGTTTTTAAAGTTTCTGTTCTTTGTTCTTTCCTGGTTTTATTTTTATGTTTTTCTTGGTTTAAATCTGCAGCACCTAATGACAGCTCTGGTTATTATAAAATGTTTCTCAAATAAATTAAGTTAATCTGTTGACTGATACAGGACGCCATCTACAGGGATTTTAGGGTATTACATCAACTCAAAATAAATACTTTAAACTGATTATCTGGTTTGATTGCCTCAGATGCAGAAATGAATACTAAAGATGTAATGCATTCCTTATAAAATCACATGGACTGAAGTTTATTAATCACCATTTCATTAATTTTAATATGTTGGTTCAGCAGTGGGCCTCAGCAGATGGCTGCTCACACTGAGCCTGGTTCTGCTGGAGGTTTCTTCCTGTTCAAAGGGAGTTTTTCCTCTCCACTGTTGCTACAAGCATGCTTAGTGTGAGGGATTGCTGAAGAGCAAGGATGTAACTTTGTAATGAAAGTTGGTGGGGACACTATAAGGCAGAGGTCACAGATTAGCGGACCGTGGTCCGGACCCGGATCCTGATCCGGATCCGGATCCAGATCCACCTGTGTGAACTGTTGACAGCACTGCCAATGAGTTACTGCAACATTTCATTTCCCTTTGGGGTTAATAAAGAATTTTTGGATTTAATTTAGATATACAGAAAAATTAACATCTTTCCAAATAAATATATATTTTATCTTTCAGTTTTCTAGTAAATTGGAATTACAGTTATGTTAAAATATCAGAATATTAATATAAATTTATTATATAATTGAACTAAAATCAGAAATAAAGCATAACTGGGGATTAAAAAAAAAAATCCATTCCATTTTCTTTCTCTTTATCCGGGGCGGGGTCACGGAGTCACGCGGGCAGCAGTCTCCGCAAAGATCCCCAAACTTCCCGATCCACTCCCACCTCCTCCAGCTGCTCCTCAAGGCGACACCAGGCCAACTCAGAGACATCGTCCCTCCAGCGTGTCCTGGACCTTCCACCATGCCTCGTCCCAATGGGACATGCCTGGAACACCTCCAGAGGGGGGGGACCAGGAGGCATTATCTGGAAGGGTGCGCCCAGCTACCCTGCGAAGGAAACTCATTTCGGCTGCTTGTATTCGCGATCATGTCCTTTCGTACATTACCCAGATCTCATGACCATAGGTGAGGGTGGGAACGTAGATCCATCGGTAAATTGAGAGCTTTGCCCCATGACTCAGCTCCCTCTTCACCACCACAGTCTGATACAGCGACCGCATCACTGCCGACGCCGCATCGATCCGTCTATCGATCCCACGCTCCGTCCGTCCCTCACTCATGAACAAGACCCTGAGATATTTGAACTCCTCCACCGACCTGAAGAGGGGAGTCCACCTTTCTCAGGTGGAGAACCATGGCCTTGGATTTGAAGGTGCTGATCCTGACTGCTTCATACTGGGCTGCAAACCGCCCCACTGCACATTGGAGGTCCTGGTTTGATTAGTCCTACAGGACAACATCACCTGCAAACAATAGAGATGATATCCTGACGTTCCCAAACCGGACATCCTCCAGTCCCTGGCTGCGCCTAGAAATCCTGTCCATAGATGTAATGAACAGAACCGGAGACACAGAGCAGCCCTGGGGGAGACCAACATGCAGCGGGAAGAAGGTCTGACTTACTGCCGGCAATGCAAACCAAGCTCCCGCTGCGGTCATACAGAGAACGGACGGCCCTAAACCGAGGGCCCCGGACCCCATTACTCCACAGGGCACCACGGGGGACACGGTCGAAAGACTTCTCAAGGTCTAAGAAACACACCCGGACTGATTGGGTGAACTACCATGAACCCTCGAGCACCCGGTGAAGAAAAAATAAATCCTTTTTATTTCAAATCGGATTCATTTTCGTTCATGTTAAGAAAATAAATTAAATCATCTGCAACCTTATTAGACGTCTTTATGACATCCAGGAAACACTGCCAGTATTCCAGGATTTTATCAAATTTTCAAACCCCATTTCTAACAAATGATTGCTTTTTTTATTATAAATACATAGTGTAAGGATTTTAGCGCAACACAATTCAAACCTTTTGACCTCCCTCATGCTTTACCTTGACACCTCTGGTTTACACTAAAACAATGAAACCTTCAGTATTCAGACAGTTGTATCAACCAGAAAAGGTTCTAGATCAGGTGGGTGGAGGTTCTGATGGAGACCCGTGTTCTACTGGTTTGTTCTACTGGTTTGTTCTACTGGTTTCCTTCACAGATTTGACAGCAGAGGGAATCGACCCCTCAGAAATTTGACCCATAAACGGGCCGAACCAGACATTAAACATCCGTTTGATTGAACAAAACTCCAAAATGAAATTAGCTTCAGCTGTTAGCTGTAGCTTCCAAACCAATAAACCAATGGGTTGAAACTACAAGAAGGTGAGATGGGATAATATCTTGGATGTGAACGCTCGCTTTATGGTGGAGAAGCCAAACATATTTGGAATTTTGGATTGGCCGCGTAGCGTCAGCAAGAAAAGACTCAATGCTGAGGGAAAAGTCCTGCACAGCCTGCTCTCAAAACAAAAAATCTATTTTGGATTCCGCCTCCTCTTTATAAAATAAAGGCGACGGCCAAAGTAAATAACCCAGTCCTTCTTTTCACTGTAGACAAGCCATGATCTGCTTATCTGTTCTCCATTTTTCATT